CCGCCGTGTCGAGGTCAATGTCGAGGAGAGTCACGGCGATTGGATGGTCGATGTCAGCGTGGACGAGTAGGAGCTGGATTGGCGTGGCACAGTCCTTTCTTTGCAGAGTAGTAATGACGTCTTGACGACAAAGGTCCATCGCACGAACTAAAAAGGAGCAGAGGTCGCGCATCACGTTGGCTGCGCTCAGCTTGCACGGCAGCAAGGGCAAACTGCATCATTGATCCCAGGGCCAAGCCGTTCGGCGACTGGGGATTGAGCAAACACGATCGTTGATCACACTTTGCCCTCTCAACAATGTGTATCGAGCCGTTTATCGACGTCTCGTTTACCATTGGTTCTTCTGCCACAGGCTTGTCGAGCGCCACCGTTTCTACTACTCTTCGGATTCTCCTCTGTCTGGCACATTGGGGATCACCATCCAGTCGAATCAGACTGTCGCCTGTGCGTATTCTATTGAAATCAATCCCAGCAACTGAGGTCGCTTTCGTTGAAGTTTGCTCTCATATCAATTCACAAATCAATGGCTTGGCTGTAGCAGCCTGTGGTATCACGGCATGATCGTGGATAGCACAGACTTGCCAATGGTTGCGTTCAGATGCGAGGCCACAAATGGTTTGCGTGATGCTCATCCGATTCTTCAAGCAGTGGACTAGAGCAGCTAGCCTCTTGCCGCTCGAGGGAGCCCGTAAAACAACAGCAGAAGGTGATGGACTTGACATGTGAAGAAGCACCAACGCGACTGTGCGTAAGAGAGGCATCGTCCTGATGATGGCATTCCGACCCAAATGTGTTGTCAGACATGGCGGGCCGGGCGCTCCGATCAGCAAGAAGTGGACCATTGACAATAATGTCACATAAAATTCACGGTTTACATTTGTCTGTCTCGGCAGTGAGCTGTCTCGTTTGCGTGGCACATGCCCAGCACGGAGCTCGATTCTGCGCTTACCCTTTTTTTAGCTTTAAAATCCTCTGTTCGGGACATCGCGATCGCCATCGGCTTCTCGTCGAAGAAGGCAGGAGACTCGAGTCTGTTTTGTAAAGGAGACAAAGTCCAAGCTTTTGATTGACAGCGACAGCGACGGCTACAGGTGACCATGCCCTGACCAGAATCGTTGCTTGTTTACGATCGCAGCAAGCGTCTCACACAAAACGCGCAAAACAACCCCCACCCCCCCAAAAAAAAAACATCAACACGAGCCATAAGCAACACATTGTAGCTAACGAAGAAGAACAATGGTGACAGCAGGTGGCTGCACGCGGCGTTGTTGACATGCTCCTCCACCAAAAAACAAGAAAAACATCAACACAAGACCCAAACCACAACACGTCGCATCATAACAAAAATAAACCTTGTGCGGGTGGCACGCGCCCGCCATTCGGCCCCTGTTTGTGTTGTTTGCACACACACAAGACAAACATCAACAGTGACCCGCGCCTTTTGCGATGCGCGGGTCGTTCGCAAGCCACAAACGCGACTGTGCTATGCGCTGCGCATATCGAGTTGCACATCGCAAACCCCCCCTCCCCGAACCATAAACGCGACTTTGCTATTCGCTGCACCGAGCCATAAACGCGACCTTGCTATATGCGATACCCAGGTGGCCGCACGCGCCTCCGTGTGCCGTGTCGTTGATTGCACACAAAAAAAACATCACAACATGACTTTGCAAGACCCTTGATCCCATTGTCACACCCAGCTGCACCCATCTCACCCATATCCGCAACAAACAACCACACCTACCGTACACCCAAAAACATCAACAAAGGCCCTGTCCTTGACCAGGCCCATACGCAAAAACTTCGAGCCCATGACATCTCCGCTAGATCCATCCCCTACAAAGGCTCCGAGCCCACATTTACTCCTTCTCGCACCCCTTTTGTTCAAACACACCAAGCCAAGCACCAAGCCAATCAGCGCCGTGTTGCTCCCGGCGCGTCGTATCACCACCGCAATAGTACATATACAACAACAATAATACCGTGCACCTTTAGCATAAAAAAACACACACAGGGCACTTAGGGGCACGGGCAGTGTGGCACGCAGGGTTCACGGCCTTATTTTCTTCCTTTCCACTGTTTGGGAGATCGAGATCAATCATCAACATCATCATCATGGCTGTGCTTCGCCTGACCGTGGTGGCCCTGGCTGCCCTGTTGATGGCGGCCCCCAGCTTGGCTGGTACGTTCCCACTCTCTCTCTCTCTCGCTCTCCTCTCGCTCTCCTCTCTCTCCTCTCTCTCTCTCTCTCTCCCTGTCATTGCTTCGAGATCTCGCCACCCCAGTGTCTCACCCCACCACTCGGGGCGTCGGGCTTTTGTTTTGTTTTAGTGGACTGTACCGGCCATTATGAGGTGCCAGACGGCAACGATGGCTGCCGCTGCCAATCCGGCTTTGCCTACAAGAACGGCCATTGTGCCATCGTCAATGAAATTGTGACCGAGGAAAACGTGTGTCATCGTCCTCTTGCCTCCCTTCCCCGCCTGCACACACCCGCACCCGCACCACCCACTGACCACTCGAATCGCTGCCACGATTGCTTCTTTCGCAGAAAATTGTCCTCAAGGCAGAGGGCGTTGTCCTGCGGGCCCCCAATGACGCCATGACCAACGTTGCCGACACCAACCTTGGTGACACCCTCAGCTCGCTCAGCTCAAGCGCTGCCGATAGCGCCTCCCGCCTCAGCGTCATCGAAGCCGCCTATGTCAACATTGGCACCGTGCGCGAGCTTGAGGCTCTCTTGGGCAACCTCTCCGATGCCAGCGAGTCGTTCGTGGATGAAGCCCTTCTCGCGAGCCTAATCCCCCGCCTTGCGACCAACGAGATGGAGGACGTCGTCTGCCAAAACACGTCCGATCTTCGCACGATCCGCTACCACCTCTTTGGCCGCCACCTCGAGTACTGTGCCCAATGGAAGAACACCTTCTACTGGCACCAGTTGGGCCTGCCCGACAAGTGCCGCTACGGCAACTCTTCCTCCGGAGTCTGCCATCGCTGCATCGATGGCTACGTGACAGCCCGTGGTGGCACGCTTTGCACCATGCAGGGCAACGTGCTCCACCTCGCTTTTGACAACAACCTTTATGACCAATCCTGGCTTGGCCGAGACGCCCGCTTTTATGGCGTTGCCAACGACTACACCTTTGGTGACAACGTGTTTGCGTCAGCTGACGGTACCCCCTTCCTCAAGCTCAACGGCAACGGCGAGCATGTGCGCGTCGAGCCCATGACCTTTGGTGGCGACCTGTCCATTTGCGTCGATGTGTATTATGAAAACTTTTTGACGTGGTCCCGCGTCATGGACTTTAGCGCTGGCGGCGAAGGCGGCACGCAGACTGGAAGCGACAGCAATATTCTCCTCGCCAATGTCGGCGGTTCCAGCGATATGAAGTTTGCTGTCCAGAATGGCGGCCAGCAAATCTTTGCCATGGAACTTGAGAACTTTCTCGACGCTGCCTACCACAAGTGGGCCCATGTGTGCATCACGGCCGACGGCGGGACCTACACCGCCTATCTCAACGGCGAGGTTGTTTCCATTCAAACCGGTCCTCCGATCCCTTGGGTGCGCCGCTCTTCCAATTACATCGGCCGCTCCAACTGGCAGGGAAACGCCCACTTTAAGGGCAACATGGATAACCTTCGCATCTTTTCCCGCGCGCTCACAGCCGACGATGTGGCTGAAATCGCCAGCGAGGTCATCTTTCCACCCCCCTTGGACGAGGGTCTGTTTGCTCGCTACCGATTCGAAGGCAACACCTTGGACAGCAGTGGTAACGGCAATGATGCGGTTGCGGAAAACCATTTGCCCTTCAACGCTTATCAGCGTCGTGCGCCCGAGGGTGAATATGCCATGCAGTTTGACGGCACGGACGACTATGTCACCATGCCTGCCATTTCTTTTGACGATTCGGCCCTCAGCTTCTGCTTCCACATTCGTTGGTACGACCTCGACTCATGGAGCCGAGTCATTGACATCCACAACTCGGGCAGCGATGGTGTCCTTCTGACGCATATTGACACCGGCGAGAATTTGCAATTTGCCGTTAAGATTCCCAGTCAGCCGCAAGCGACGCTGGAAGTAACCAGCGGTTGGGCGTACGCTCGGGGGGCTTACCAACATTATTGTGCCACCATGAACAACACGGAAATGGCACTCTACCGTCAAGGCCGTCTTGTCACGACCGTGAGCAACGTGACGCCCCTTGGCACGCCCACCTATGCCAACGCCTACATTGGGCGTTCTGCATACTCGTCTGATGCCACTCTGGGCGCCGAGCTTGATGACGTCCAAATTTATCGTCGTGCTCTCCCGCTGGAGGATGTCCAGTTGGCCATGTGCGATGGCAAGGCGGCCTTGGACTGCGTTGGCCTCTTGGGCCACTGGACCTTTGATTACAGCCTGCGTGACAACAGCAATAACCAGTGGAACGGTGAACTCGTGGCCGCAGATCAGGAGGTGCGTTGATTGACCTTTACAAAAATGTTCCGCTTACACAGAAGCAACTCACTTCTCTCATTTGTGTCTCGTGCCTTGCTTCATGTAGGAGGTGACCCACTTCGTTTCCGATGATGCCATCGAGGGCACACATGCGCTAAACTTTGTCGGCAACAACAGCTACGTGCAGCTGCCCCCCCGACGCCTCTTTGGCGAAAGTGATCTCTCGTTTTGCGTCTGGGTGAAGTTTGGTTCCAACAATTATTGGGAGTAAGTTTTATTTGTCTTTGCTTTAGACATGGCACAATGCGAGTGTGGTGTCTAAGGATCTGCTCACGCGCAATTCTCTTGTGGTCACAGGCGAATCTTCGACTTTGGCAGCACCTATGGTTCCCAACGCATCTACATGTCCCGCGTGGGCAATGACAACACCATTCTTTTGGATGTGCACAAGAATGGTGGAAATACGGATGTCCGTGCCGACCTGCCCAACTCCACAGACTACACGCACGTGTGTGCTACCATCGACTCAGCCGGTGGTCACATGTACATCAATGGCGAGGTACGAGCTTTGGCAGGGAATGCGTCGCCTCATTTTTGTCACGCAAGGTTGCTTGTCGAATTCTGACGCCACATTCTCCTATTCCTTCCTCGTGTTTCTCTCCTTCCTGCAGCTGGCACAGGAAACCCCGGGCGTGCCAAAGTTGGACCTGCTTAACTCTAACCTCAATTATATCGGTCGCTCTTACTATGATCAAGATGCTTCAACCGATGCCAAGATGGATGACTTCCGCATTTATGGCTATGCGCTGTCGGCCACTGAGGTGTCGACCCTGTACAACATGTATGCCAATTAGTAAAGTCTCGACATTCACGGGCCGCGCCTGTATGGGACAACCAATTCTGTGGTGGTTGGTTCGATATGCACAGGTATTCATCCTCAGTGTGTGTCCACTTTGGTGTCCTGGTTTGTGTTCCTGATTTTATCCGCGCCTTGCATGGAATGAACAATGCGTATTATGCGATGATATTATCATTTTTTGTATGGGCGTGTCAATTGTAATCACAACGAGAGCTTTCCATCCTTTCTGCCCGTGAAAACTGGTCCAGAAGACGCAGAGCAGACTCATTTGAACCTTTTATTGTGCGGTTTTCTGTAATGAGCAACGCGATAAAATGGGCACACGGACGAAAGCCACCAACAGCCATGTCAACACGATGCTGGGGTAGGATAAGGTAGTGTAAGCGCTAGCACCAGGCCGATGCGGAAAACGGGCAAGGCATGTGAGACCTCCCGGCGTTGTGACCAGTGTTTGGCGCGCATACAGCCGCATCTCCGGCCAATATGATTGGCTAGGATCTGGGCCTCGCCGCTTGGACTTGCCGACTGCCACAGGGGTCAAAGACTTCTCACACTTAGGGGTCGATCATAGCGACGAGAAGAGTTCATGATTGACTAGGAGGGGTGTTGTCAAAAAAAAACAAGATCATGTTTGTCTAGCTCACTGTCAGAAATGTCCGCTCGCATCAGGGCAGGCCGGGGAAGAAGGGGAGGTGGGGGGGAGTGGGGTTGAATTGGATCACCAACGGGCTTGGAACGTTGTCCAGCTGCCATGGCTGGCGAAAGGGCAGCACACATAAAAGTACAAGCCCGGTTTGACGGTGCTTCGAAATCTGCTCGTATAACGTTTTGAAGAAAAAAATAGGGTTTTGAACATGTGTTTGCTTTTTGCATTTTCCTCCTCCTTCGACTGTGTGGTCTTCATGGCTCTTCTTTCCTTCTTCAACATCGACCAAGGCGGGTTGCTCGACGTGCCTTGCCTGTCTATCGTGGCCGATCGTGCTTGATCGCTTGCTCTTGGTACGGGACTCTCCTGGTCAAAGTCTTGCGGCAACGCCAGAACGTCATCGCTGCCACTTTTTTTTCGTCGTGGTGCGCGCGCCACTGATCTCACCTCACAGTCGAAAGCGTGCGCTTGGGCAACCAAGTACACTTGTCCTCACAACTGTCATCTAGAACCTGCTGACCAAAGGTTAGTCATTTGTTGCATCAGGCAGAAAAGAGCAAGACCCGCTGACCGGCTGCCATTTTGGAAAGTGCGCCCCCCAGTCCGAATTTTGGGTTGTTAGACGAGTTGTGCTTGGAGGGGTCTCATGAGATTGGTGATGGATAGAGAAGCAAGATATCGATTGGAAGCGGATGGTGATCGAGACGTACCTTTACTATGAGTGATGATGGATACAAGCTGTTTGATGCGTGCTGGTTATCAAATCCACAAAAGGCACTGCAGCTGTTGACCAGTTGGGACCAACAACGTATTCGGGATGCTGCCCGATACAAAGCTAATGGGGTACGGAAGTTGTTTGGTATGATGTTGTGTGATAGTGGTTACACCTCGAATACGTCTCTGGATGTGAGTGACGTGATGGTATAACTTGGGGCATAAACGTACTGCATGTTTGAACCATATCATCCCACAGCTTGGCCAAACACCACTGCACTGGGCCTGCGATAACGGTCATGACAAGGTGGTGGAGATGCTGTTGAAGCACGGTGTTGATACTGAAGCCAAGACCATCGTCAGTACAAAACCTCCCTCTTGCCCCCCCGCCCCCTTCCCCCTATGTTGGTACACCTGTACCACATGATGATGATGCTGAGGATACTGTACCTGTACGTCATGCTGATGCATCATCCCACAGGGTGGCCAAACACCGCTGCACGATGCCTGCCGTAACGGTCATGACAACGTGGTGGAGATGCTGTTGAAAAACGGTGCCGAAGCTAAAGCCAAGACCAAGGTCAGTACAGTACCTCCCTCTTGCTGCCCTCGATGGTACATTTGTACCACATAATGATGATGATACTGATGATGCTGCACCCGCACGTCATGCTGATGCATCACCCCACAGGATGGCGATACACCACTGCACAATGCCTGCCGATCCGGTCATGTCAAGGTCGTGGAGATGCTGTTGGAGCACGGTGCTGATGTTCAAGCCAAGAACGAGGTCAGTACAGTGCCTCCCTCTTCCTCTCCTTCACCCCCCTATGATGGTACACCTGTACCACATGATGAATATGATGATGCTGATGCTGAACCTGTACGTCATGCTGATGCATCCTCCCACAGGGTGGCTATACACCACTGCACGACGCCTGCCGTAACGGTCACGACAGGGTGGTGAAGATGCTGTTGAAGAACGGTGCCGAAGCTAGAGCCAAGACCAAGGTCAGTATAGTACCTCCCTCTTCCCCGCCCCCCTCTGGCTGCTGCTGCTGTTTCCGTGCTCGTCGCCTCTGCCCCGTCCCTCGCTCCTCTACACCCTGCCCACTGTGCGCGTCCGTTCTGTCTCTTGTTCCTTTTCATCTTATCCGCTATCCTGTCCCCCGTTTTCCGTCCGCCCGTTGTCGCTGCTCCTTGCCCCCCGCTTGTTCCGCTGTATCTTCCGCCCGGTTTCCTTTTCTGATGTTGTGACCTCAATCGGAGCACTACCCCATCCCTTGCCATAGCGCCCTTGCCTCCCTCGCACGCTCGAGCGGCTTTCAGTGGTCGTCTCTTCAGCTTTACCCCGGCACACTCGACGCTCACTCCCACCCATCCATGCTCCCTCTTTAAAAAAAAAAATATAAACACGCCCCATGTTTCCAAACATTGGTTGCTATATAGGACGGTCAAACGCCGCTCCATGCAGCCTGCACTGTCTTCTCTGCCAGCCAAACGGTGATCGAACAACTCTTGCGTCACGGTGCCGACCCAGATGCGAGAGATCGTGTAAGCCTTTCACCACAATGCTGCACTGTTTCGCTATTCTGCTGCACCTGCGATTGATACCTGACGACCTGCTGTGGCAGACGGGTGTTCGGCCCTTGGATCTGCTCCTTAGCAGGAGTCGCATCAGGCTGGAGGTGGGCCGTTTTTATTTTTGGTATCGATTGCAGAGGAAAGCTTGCTTACCGATGAATCTGTTTTACTTTATAGCTGGTTGCAGAGCTATTGGGCGCAACCCGTACCCCTTGCTCCTACCAAACTTCGAATCCCAATGGTGCGAACCTGATTCCCAGGTCATCGTTGGCAATGTCTTGTTCTCATCGGATTTCAACGTGCCGCCAGTCCAAGGTTTGATTCATGCAGAGCAGGTCAGACGGTGGCGGCGCGCTGCTGCTGTGCTTTGTAGCGTCGGCTGGCGCGTGTATCCTCAATTGTTCAATATTCAAGATTTACAAACCCTTTGTGACTGCCAGGCCGCTCGAACGTCCGCCGCTCAAGTTACACCTGCGAATTGAAATGGGTGCTTGTGGTTGACCTTATACTATTCCCTCAAAAGACTGATTCATGTGTACTTCCTGCATCGCAGCAAGCCTTCGAGACAATGCTCGCATCTACTTTAACCAGACGCGTTGGGATATCACCATGCATGAAAATCGCCATACAGTGCCTGTGTGCGGCTGGATCAAGAAGCGAATTGAAGAAAAGTGATCAACGCGAAGGCAGGTATCGTCAACCAACGCCTCTACAGTCGTCAGAGTATCAAGGCGTAGCTGGAGGCAGTGATGAAGCTCAAGGTTGCCAAAAAAAATCTGCGAGACCGACGGGAGTCGACACACTGCTCCAATGATTGTCTGAACGGCTCATGCTGATGATGATGCCCCGGCACTCCGGCTCGCCCGAGGAGAAACCGAGAACAAGCGCACATATGACAACTACAAGAAGGGAGGACAAGAAGCACCATCATTGTAATCACGCCTCGCATGCGCCCGACCAGCTTCCCAGCTGGCCAACGAGCGTGATGCGCGCGACAAAGGGCTGAGCTCTTCCTTCTTCTTCGCCAACTCTTCTGCTTCTGTCTCTTCTGCTTGCCTCTCTTTGGACTCGGTATCGACCTCGGCATCAAGGGGTTGCTTGAAGTGTCTTGTTTTGTGTGGGGTGCTTGATCGCTTGTGCTTGTACGTGACTCTCCTCTTGTGGCGACACCAGAACGTTTGGTTGAGCGCATCGCCGCCACCTTTTTCTCACCCGTGGTGTGAGTGGCACTGATCTCGCCTCGCAGTCGTCAGCGTACACCTGTACCCGTGACTGTCCCCAAGAACTTTAGACCAGAGGTGAGTCGATTGGCACATCAAGCGACAAGAGCAAAGACCCGCCGACCGACTGCCGTATTCGAACTGCACGCGCACGTCGAATCCCAGCCCGAATTTCTGGGTTGTCAGACGAGTTGCGCTTTGTTTGTCATCAACAAAAGCAGAAGGCGATGAAGTTATGGAAATTATGTGATGAGACGTCGGCCGAATGAGTCTCTGTCAAGATTCTCGCCTGGTGAGATGATTGAGCATGGATGTTGTTCAGATGTGATAAATAAGTAGGGTAGGCTTCGAAATGAAACGGTTAAACAAACGAATATGTGGCAGCGCAAAAGCAAAGAAACACATAGACAACGTTCGGAAGTCATCCAACTAAGGGCCTACTGCACCACGACGATACCTATGGAGGCGGGGGTGCTGGTCGGGTTGTACTCAAAGCTGCTGATGCCGCCAGCTCAAGCTGCGAGAAGATACGAGGGGTAGTTGTGAGCACAGGATGTCCAAAAGAATCAAGGCTAAAGGCAGGTCCACAAAGAAAACCCTCACCTGAACCAATCGATTTGAAAAGGTTGCATTGATCAGTGAGTCAATGGTGTGAATAAGTAAAGCTTTCCGACAAGCAGCAATATTATTGTTATGCGAGTACAAGAGGGCACCGCTACAGCTGCAATTGCCAAGCATATCAGCTGTGGTTGTGGCAATTGTGGTAACTAGGTGAGAGGAGGAAGTAAAAGTGACCGTGGGTGTGGTGGCAGCAGCAGTGGTTGTAGAAGCAGCTAGAGTAGTAGCAGTTGTAGCCGTCGTCGTCGTGGCCGCTGTGGTAGTGGTGGCAGTAGTAGTGGTGGCCGCAGTGGTCGTGCTAACACCTACTGCGGCAGTGGTAGTGGTGGCCGCAGAGGTCGTGGTTGATACACCTCCTGCTGCAGTTGTAGTGGTGGCCGCAGAGGTCGTGGTTGATACACCTCCTGCAGTGGTAGTGGTCGTGGTGGCCGCAGTGGTCGTGGTTGATCCACCTCCTGCGGCAGTTGTAGTGGTGGCTGCAGTGGTAGTGGTTGCTGAGGTAGTGGTGGTACTAGCAGCTGGAGTAGTTGAACTCATAGTAGTTTGTGTTAAAACGAGCACGCCCATAGTATACGTGTTGACCGCGTTTGTTGACTTTTCCGCTACGCTGGCCAGCGAGCTGGCCACCGTCTTGTCGGTGTCGGAAACGCGCGTGGAGCTCACGAGTCTGCGCGAGGTTTCGGGCGGCGCACAGACCGTGGGCACGCTCAAGTTTTTGATCCCGGCCGATCCCGTAGGCCCGGCTGCCAATGACGGCCTGAGTGCTGAGCAGCTGGCCAGTTTGTTCCTTACCACATTGTACATTGATGACACTCCGCCCTCGCTCGTCAACGGTGGCATCCTGGAGGCCCTGGATTTGGACTATCAGCCTTCCCAGAGTTTGGCCGTGACCCGTCGTGCGGCAGCCGGGGCAAACATGGAGGCAGACCTCCCGGTTGCATCCTCTACAGCGGATAGCAACGACAGCGAAGACAATTCGGCTGATCTCTATCAGATTTTGATGCTGGGCGTGTGCATTTCCCAGTTTGCGGTCCTTGCCGTGATGCTTGTCCGCCGTAGCCGACGTCGTGCCTCTGAAGGCGTTGCTGGGCCTGCTGCAAAAACGAAGTAGCTCGATTTCTATGTGATATCATGATAGTAATTATTATTATTGATGAGTTCGAGAATTCGACATATCCTGTAGTTTTCCTTCCATGGTTTTCTTTTATGTTTGACCGCCCACTTGTCAGGCTCCAGCACGTCTGGTGGCCGGTTTTGGGTTCTGAGGAAGCGCGTAGAATTGAGGAAGCGTTTTGAGTGAGGTTTGAGAGACGTCCGTCGGGACGGAGCGAAAGCTTTGATGCTGTCTTGAGGTCAATTGAACCAGCTGCTGTCGGCCAAAAAAAAATAAATAGGAAGAAGAGGAGGGCAAGCATTCACAGGGACCAGACCAGGTGCACCGTTAGAATAGCTGTAGAGTCGCTCAATTCCGAGGATAGGGACAATGCAACCTGCCCGTCCGCAGGCCTCACAACAAAGAGAAACAACAGTAGCAATAAGCTTATCACCCCCAAGGCATGTGCCAGGAAAGGTGGGGTCTAAGTGTCGGTGTGTATATATTAGGTCACAAGACCCATTGTGACCTAACCAACTCTGAGTGTGTGCAAAAGCAGTTGAAGTTTCAAATGCGTGGAAGCACAGATTTGACGCTTAAACTTTCTCGGTTGTGCCGTGTTGCTATGTTTTGTGCGCTTAATCCCAGTCGTGGTGCCACACACGTGCAATTCAAAGAAACAAAAGTGATATCATCACACTGCTTCAGCGTCCATAAAGCTGGTGGGAACCTCGGACTTCCTCAACTCGGCGAGGGTCGTAGCGCTGGTCAATGCCAATGCGTTGCAGCACCCAAGCGGCATATGGCATTGATCAACAAAAAAAAATGTCTTCTGAATTTCCTTAAAATAGAAGATTGAAACATCGTCGTCTATTTTGGGCGCACAAGTCGTCATTTCCCACGGTCTCGAGTGGCATTTTTGAAGCGGAATTTTCAGTCGAGAACGAGGACGGGGTCTGGAGTGGTTTGTTCTGCACATGTTGTTCCTTTTGGCACAACTTTCTCTTGCTGCTAGGCGTTTGGCTTGTCGCCAGGCATCCTTCTTAGCAGTTTTGGTGCTTCGTCAGCTCGAAAGCAAGTTCATCTGGGGCACTTTTGCTGAGATTCTCCGATGGGGGGGGGGAGAACTGTTCATGATTTTTGAGTGGTTTTTCCGATTCACATAGGACAGAGGCGCTGCTAGATTTGAAGCACGCTTGATCTGCTACCAATTTCAACAACACAGGGGTTTGTGTGAGCCGATGCATATTTTAGGGGACGAACAACTCACTTGTGCTCATGCAAACTGCATTCACGTGACATGCTGAAAAATAATCGCAGTTCATCCAGCCAGTGCACTTGACTTGCTTTGGCGATTGCATTGAAGCAGTGGCCATGTCGCTAAAGCATGGCGCTAATATTGAGAACAAGGACGAGGCAAGTTTGCCCTTCTTTGTTGCTGCTAAAAAGTATAATATAAAATTATTTTATGTACGCCAGCAAGTGCAACTGACCAGGCTGTACATGCATGGTGTGTTGTGTCTTACTAAATTCCTCAGAATGGCAACACGCCATTGCACTCCGCTTGCTTACATAATCACGCGGAGATGGCAGAGACCCTGCTAGAGCATGGCGCTGATATCGACACCAAGGACAAGGCAAGATACCACTTCTCCGCTTCTTTCTATTGAGTGGGATTTGAGTGTGCCAGTCTGTAGAACTGACAAGAATGCTAAATTTCTTAGTATGGCTACACGCCATTGCACGTGGCATGCATGCATAGTCATGTGAAGGTAGCAGAGACCCTGCTGAACCGTGGCGCTGATATTGATGCCAAGAATGAGGCTAGTTAGCAATTCTCTGTGTCCTGCTCTTGCGTTTGAGTGCGTGGGCCTGTACATCTGACTATGATGTACGCTTGTGACACGTTGCTGATGCATGCAAGCCACCCCACAGTTTGGTGAGACGCCGTTGCATGTGGCTGCCGATAAGAATCACGTGAAGGTGGCAGAGACCCTGCTGACGCATGGCGCTGATATTGAAGCCAAGAAAAACGTCAGTTGGCGCTTCACTGTGTTTTGCTCTGTTGGGTGTGTTTTGAGTACGCCAGACTGTGAAACTAACAGGGCTGTACATGCGTGGTGCGTTGTGTCTTGCTGAATCCTGCAGTCTGGCCACACATCATTACACCTGGCTTGCATACGAAATCACGCGGAGGTGGTAGAGACCCTGCTGAAGCACGGCGCAGATATTGAAGCCAGGCATAAGGCAAGTTAGCACCACTCTATTTCTCTCTCTTTTGGGTGTTTTGAGTACACCAGCCTGTAAAACTGACAAGACTGCACATGCGTGGTGTGCTGTGTCTTGCAAAATCCCTCAGAATGGCAACACGCCATTGTACTCCGCTTGCTTACATAATCACGCGGAGATGGCAGAGACCCTGCTAGAGCATGGCGCTGATATCGACACCAAGGACAAGGCAAGATACCACTTCTCCGCTTCTTTCTATTGAGTGGGATTTGAGTGTGCCAGTCTGTAGAACTGACAAGAATGCTAAATTTCAGTATGGCTACACGCCATTGCACGTGGCATGCATGCATAGTCATGTGAAGGTAGCAGAGACCCTGCTGAACCGTGGCGCTGATATTGAAGCCAAGAACAACGTTAGTTAGAACTTTTTTGTTTTTGCTCTTATGCTCTTGGTGCGTTTTGAGTGCGTGGGCCTGTACATCTGACCATGATGTACGCTTGTGACACGTTGCTGACGCATGCAAGCCATCCACAGTATGGTGAGACGCCGTTGCATGTGGCTGCCGAGAAGAATCACGTGAAGGTGGCAGAGACCCTGCTGACGCATGGCGCTGACATTGAAGCCAAGAAAAACGTCAGTTGGCGCTTCACTGTGTTTTGCTCTGTTGGGTGTGTTTTGAGTACGTGGGTCTGTACAACGAATCAGGATTTGCATGTGTGACACGTTGCTGATGCCTGCAAGCCATCCACAGTGGGGTGAGACGCCGTTGTATGTGGCTGCCGAGAAGAATCATATGAAGGTGGCAGAGACCCTGCTAGAGCATGGCGCCGACATTGAAGCCAAAAGCAACGTTAGCTATATCTCGGGTTTTTTTCCATGTGTATTCTTTTTGCGCGACAGTCGTACAACTGACCAGGCTATGCGCGTGTGATTTCCGGCGACCACGACGGCTTCGTCTTCAGCTTGGTTGCACGCCACTGTGCTGTGCTTATGTTTATAACCACGTGGGAATGCTGGAGGTGCTGATGAAGAAAGGGGCTGATATTGTCGCCAGAGACCAGGTCCGTCGGCCTTTATCTTTTTCAAACACACTTCGTGTTTGAAACAGCCAGCCTAGCCCACCTGACCATGGTGTACTTGGTCGTCTCAAACTATGTTTCGTAATGCTGTTGGTTGCATTCAATCGGCCACAAAGTTTGCCTGTTCACTATTGCACAAGGCATGCTCTGATGGTCGTACCGAGGTGGTGGAGATGCTCTTAACGCATGGCGTTGGCTTTGAGGCTCATGACAAAGTAAGTTTTACCTAACTACTCTTTTTTCGTACGTATGCATGTGCCCTAGAGCTGTACCCTTTTCCTTCAAGCAGACCATTTGGGCATTGCGTGTGGATATGCTTGAGAACGAGGCTCACAGAAGTGCATATTTCGATTTGGGTGACTTGACAGGAAATGGTGGCTGCACTCCATGTTGCTTCAAAGATAACATTGATCCTGCTCATAAAACCGCCTTTTAAGTAACATCTGTGGACGAGGCGCAGCGACTCGCCGCGGCACCTGTCGGGGCGTTCTTCCAGGCCAACAAACAAAGCCAGACAACAACGCCCCATTGTACTCGGCCATCCAAAAGTCGGACGGGGTAGGCTTTGATCGTACTCTTCTACCGCCTTCAATCTGGCCGTCACGGGAGCTACGTTGCCTTGGTCAAGGCAATCAACAGCGCCGGCCTGGCATCAGCAGCAGCCGTCTTGGAATCCCTCGTGCTGGACAAGGAAGGTCCCCATTTTTTGCGCGTGCTGCGCGTGCCTTTAAACAATGGTCCAAACGGTGCCTTGGGCAGCCAATTGACGGTGACTGGCACGACTGCGCAAGGCAATGCCGTTTACGAGTTCTCCGTTGACTCGCCCGACATTCTTGGAGCCTCCCCGAGTGGCACGCGCATGACTTTGACGCCCGGTGCCCCGGTGGAGCTGACCATGGCTCTGACGTTGGGGCAGCAGACATGGCCAACACTTTTGACATTGTTTGCGCAGGGGGCGCGCTACGCACGCTTCTGCGCATTTTCGGCTCTGTTTCCAACGAAGTGAAGGGTGATGTGCATCACGTTGCATCCTGTGAAGGCTTTCGGCAGCAAATAGAACGCTGGCTTGAAATTGAAGCTGTGGGCCAGGACATTTCTGTAGAGCTTGAGGTCACGTTGCTCAACGCAGACACGGATGCCAGGCTCCTGGTGGGAAGCACCCGTGTCCAAGCGGTGGCGGAGCTCAACTCTGATGCACGGACACTACCCGGCGTCACTGTGCAAGGCCGAACATTTGCCGTTTTGCACGGCAGTGGTACCGATTCTGCATGATAGGTGCCTTGTGCCTTTTTTTGCCCTTTTAGTGCTCGCGCTTGCTCCGCTTCTCCTCGCGCGAGCTGGAGCGAGTTTGATGCGGCTCGAGATCCTCGTGACGGGGATGATGGTGCTGACTGTTTTGGCTGCACTTGCGGTGGCGCTGGCCACCGAGTCTTGAGGACGCTTCCAGCAAAGAATACAAGGCAGTGTAAAAGCGAGCACCAGGTCCATGATGAAAGCGGGCGATGTTTGTGTGACTCTCCCGAGATCGGCGTGCTGATTGGCTTGGACGATCTGCTAGGCCCTGAACGTGAGTTGAGTGGGGAATAGGTTTGATATAGCCGGAGGGGTTGAATCGGGGTGGGCCAACCAACGGGCTTGGGATGCTTTTCAGCGTTCCTGGCAGGCAAAAAGGCAGTCCAAGTGTACGCACAAGTTCCAGTTTGACGGCGCTTTGCAATCTGCTCGCATGACCGTTTTAACTTTTTTCTCAAAGCGAACCAAAAAGTTAGAACGTGTGTTGTAAAAAGGCGTTTGTTGCATTTTCCTTCTTCGTCGGCTTATGCCGTTTTTCATTTTGCTTTGGACCTCTTGTTCCTTTTTTCCCTCTTTGGCATCGGTCTCGATATCGGCATCGGCGGGTTGCTCGACGTGTCTTGCTTGTGTGCGTGGTGACTGATTGCTTGCGCTTGTTACGGGACTCTCCTGGTCGGAGACTTGTGGCAACGTCAAAACGTCTGGTTGAAAGCATTGGTGCCACTTTTTTTTTTTTTTTTTCCGTGGTGTGAATGACACTGATGTCGACTGTGGGGCGACAACGTGCACAGGGCAAACAAGCACACCTGTCCTCGCAACTGTCACCGAGAACTGTTGGCCAAAGGTAAGTCGTTTGTTGCATTAGGCAGAGAAAAGGCCAAGGCCCGCGGACCGGCTGCCGTTTGCGCGCCTGTCAAACCCCAGTCCGAATTTTTCTCAGACGAGTTTTACTTGGAGGGGGCCATGAGATTGGAGGGGGCTCATGAGATTGGTGGTGGCTAGAGCGGTTTGAAGCGGATGGTGAACAGAGAGATACCGTTACCATGAGTGATGATGGAGAGCAGCTGTACGAGGTGTGTGGGTCATCAAATCCACAAGGGGCGCTTCGGTGGTTGATAACGCTTGGATGTGTCACTGAATGGGGTGTTATGATATGACATGGACATGGACACATACTGCATGTTTGCATCGTCCCACAGCATGACTGGGCACCACTGCACTGGGCTTGCTCAAAGGGTCATGACGAGGTGGTGAAGATGCTGTTGATGCACGGTGTTGATACTGAAGCCAAAGACAGCGTCAGTAAAGTTCCTCCCTCTTCCCCACTTCACCTGTCCCTATGGTGCATTTGTACCACATGATGATGCTGATGCTGATGATGATGCTATACCTGTACGTCATGCTGATGCATCATCCCACAGAAAGGCAATGCACCACTGCACTGGGCTTGCTCAAAGGGTCATGACAAGGTGGTGAAGATGCTCTTGAAGCACGGTGTTGATACTGAAGCCAAGGACAACGTCAGTAAAGAACCTCCGTCATCCCCCCCCCCCTCCCCGCCCCGTGATGGTGCACCTGTACCACATGATGATAATGTTGATGCTGCTGTACCTGTACGTCATGCTGATGCATCATCCCACAGTATGGCAATACACCACTGCACAGGGCCTGCCTTCGGGGTTATGTCAAGATGGTGGAGATGCTGTTGGATCACGGTGTTGATACTGAAGCCAAGGACAAGGTCAGTACAGTACCTCCCTCTTTCCCCTTTACCCGCTATGATGGATGCACCTGTAACCCATGATGATGATGATGATGATGATGATGATAATGATGATGTACCTGTACGTCATGCTGATGCATCATCCCACAGATTGGCTGGGCACCACTGCACTGGGCTTGCTTAGAGG